AAAGAGCGGAGGGCAACGGAGACAGAAATGCCTGTGAAAGGAGAGCTTGGGAGCCTCCTCTTTTATCTGCTTGGAAAACTTGGCACAGGATTTCAGAACTTGACGTGCCTTGCAGCAACTTGCCTTGTCAAACACACCTCGGCTACAGCGAGGTGTGGAAAAATGCATTGTTTGCAGGCAAGAAAGTAACGGAGTGAGGGAGCTAGGGAGCTCCCCCCCACCCCCCCAAAACTGCTGCTCTGAGTCATGGAATTAAAATTGAATGGGACGAGTCACTGAGGACGGTGCTCAGGAGCAGGATGCAACACGATCCTCCCGAGACCCTGAGAGCCGGTTTTCCTTAGGTGAGCCCAGGACTCACTCTTTTGAGCAGGGTTCCTTGTGCTGGAGCTTTTCTAAGGTGAAGTTTAGGGTTTAACACATCAGGATCTTACCTTAAAATTGTCTCCCTTCATTGCAGGGGAAACTGAGAAATCAGGAAACATGGCTTTCAAAGGCAGCAAGTAATTCCCTTTTCTAAAATAATTTCAAATTATTACATTAAACAGTACTACAGGACTTATAACATAGTTTTTAAAAAGATGCCTGAAATTATTGTTGTTCTTTCAAAAGCTCAGGATTTCAGAATTCAAAAGCTCCTGGTGAAGTGGGGGTTTTTTAATCACTTTTTGTTCCATCCTCCACACTTCATACTTGACCAGCAGTTTCTACATCACTGCTGGTTCTGCAAGACATTCTGTGAAGGGGAATTCATCCACTTTTCTTCTAGCTCTCTCCCACATCCTCCTTCACCCTGCTGAGATCATTCAAACCCTGAGGAAGGTGCTTCTAAAATCACCTTTGCCTCTTGATCTTGGGCTGTCGGGTGAGCCCTCACTTCAGAGCTTCAGTCCCTCTGGTGAGGCTGGATTGTGCTTGAGGTGTAAAGGCTGGACCACTGATAACAACTTCTCCTGTGTCCATGAAGAGCTGGACACAGGTCACAAGAGAAGATATCCCCTCCCTCCCACCCCAAATCCTCTCTGAACCGACTCTTCCCGCCCTCAGCCTCGTGCTGTGTTGTTTTATCCTGACGTGTCAGATAAAATAACAGCATGGGGCAGAGAGGTGAAACCTGAGCAGCTAAAAGATTCCCAAACTGGGCTGCGTGAGCAGTAAGTACAGGAGCTTAATCCAAAACGAGCAGCTCAGGGGTATGTGCTGCATCTCCTAGCTTGTTTCTGTTGATGTGTTTCCAACCGCTGTTTTCTCCGTCTGGGAACTTGAAAGAAAACCTGAGCAGAAGGGGTTGGGTAGTTTTGGGTGTTTTTTTCGTTGTTTCTTGTGTTGTTTGTGTTCTTTTTTTTTTTTTCTTTTCTCATTGCAATCAGCAAATCCAGCCCTTGCAGCTCCCACCTCCTGCAAGAACTCCTGTGGTGCCCGTTGCCAAGTGCGTGAGTCACCGCAGCTCCGGGGGCCGAGCCCTGGCCGGGCTGTTGAAGCATCCTCAGAGGGCTGGGCGGTAGCAAGGGGGTGCTCTCACCTCGGGAGTGATGTGGCAACCTCCTGGTTGCTGGAAATGCAGAGTTCCTTGGGGAAAAACTGCACCCCATCTCCCACATCCAGGAGCAAGGAGCCCCGATCTCGCCCCGTGCAGGCAACCTCAGCATCAACATCTCATCAGAAGAGATTCCAGCAGTAGTGGGGATCTGCTGATATTGGAAATAAATAAATTGTGTCACTGGCATGGCAGATATGGGAGGATTTGCTTTCCTAAGCCTGCAGATGTGAATCTGTGGATCCTGTGGCCGGGCCCAGGCAGGGATCCTGCCTTTGCCTTCCAAAGAGCTATGCAAAGTCACACCTGGGAACCAGAGCCCAGCTGCAGATGTTTTATTCAAAGCAATGAGAAAGGATTCACGTTTAAGGCAGTCATTACCCCCCCAGCTCTTCTAGGAAAGCCTGTTGCTGCAGACAATGGTAATTAAGTGGAATATTACAAAGGATTTGGAAGAGTAAATCAAATTATTGCTTAGGCACCAAAACAAGGAAAATTCTCACATCTTGGTCCCATGTGGCTTCCTTGCCTGGCCCCTGTCCTTCCTGTGCCTTGTCCTGAAGCTGCTCTGGGTGGGAAGGTGGCTGGGCTGGCTCTCTGGATGGGCAGGACGCCCACAGGGAGGGTGTGGTTTGGGAGGCAGGGTTTGCTGTGAGGGGTGGGGGCATTCAGAGGGGTGGTCTGGGGGTACAGAGCAAAGGCAGGAGGAGTGTGGCCAGCTGAGATGTTTGCAGGAGCTCAGCTGCCTTTGAGCACCATTTTCAGACTCTGTTGCTCATAGAATCACAGAATGGTTTGGGTTGAAACAAGCCTTAAAAGAATCCAATTCCAAGCCCCTTACCATGGGCAGGGACACCTCCCACCAGCCCAGGCTGCTCCAAGCCCCATCCAACCTGCCCTTCAACACCCCCAGGGATGGGGCAGCCACAGCTTCCCTGGACAACCTGGGTCGGTGTCTCACCATCATCACAGGGAAGAATTTCTTCCTAATTTCTTCTTACTATTTGTGCTTTTTTCAGCACAGGCTGGAAGAAAGACATTCAAAACTTCTAAGGTTAGTTAGGGCTAAGTTGCCATCACCTCTAATAATTCCTCACACCCGTGCTGTGTAATTCAGCATTCACACAGGTGAGCACAGAATTCGAGGTGACTCAGAGTTTATTTTTAACCTTTGCTCATTTTTGGTCTCTCTGCAGCATCCTCTGCCACAGCAGAGACAAAGACAGGCGTTTTGTCCCCAGACTTTGGTCTCTTTTCCTGCAGCTCCTTCGGTTTTCTGGGGAAGGGAGCTCTGATGTTTCGGTGTGTCAGTTTTCAGAGCTGGATCCTTGCTGGGCTGACATGTGCTCACTTGCTGTTTCCCATTCCCTGCTGGGTTGTGTAAAGCAGGGATGTTGAGAGGTCAGGTAAGAGCAAAGCGTCTGTCTCTTTGAAATGCAATAAGGTGTGTTTGTCTGAGGGATGAGTTCCCCCCACCTGCCCCCCCAGTCTCTTTTTTCTTTTTTATTCACCTTTTGCAAGGCCAGCTGACCAAAACACCCCCATTGTTTGGTGAGTTGCTGTGCTCCAGCTCATCGAAACCCATCCTCAGTCTAGATGATCCTGATAAAATCCTCCCCCAGAGCCCTGTGTATGTTTATAGGTTTGGCTACATCTTTTTAAGAAAGCAAAAATTAAACACTGGTTTGGATTTTTTTTCCCAAGCTAGCGAAGCTGTGCAACACCCTCCCTTCCATGGAAGAAAGGCTTTTAGGTTAACCCTAATCATATGCTAAGAAATTAAAGATGATGGATTTTTTGGTCACTTACTGAATCAACCCCCACCTTCTTCCTCTTTTCTCTGATTCTTCAATTAATTTTGGGACAACTGATTTCAAGCTTTTCATTGTGATTTTATCAGAATTTTGAAACTTTTCCCCAAAAGTAAAGCAAAACCCCCCTTCAGCTCACTCTGCTGAGGGCTGGGAGTGTTTTGTGTTTAGTTCTGTTTTAGAATAAAAATATGTAGGAGGAAATAAATTCCAATCCAGTTTTATTGGACACATTCCAAAAAGAGAAAGGAAAACACAGCATTATCACTCTCGAGTATAAAAAGCTGCAATTTTCTTTTTAATGGTACTTTCACAAAAATAAAAAGATACGGTGGAAGGCAAGAGGGGTAACTTCAGAGGGGTAAATTTCAGACAGAGGGGAAAGAGGAATATGGGCACTGGTGTGCCTTTGGGCTCCTGCTCCCAATTGCCTCAGTTCCCCTGTGCTGTGCTGGAATCTGGGTGCTCTTTGCAGTTTACCAATTGTCTTTCTTCTGGCAGAGAAACTTTCACATAGTGGAGATGCTGAAATAGCCCGAGGAGCAGGGTGGACGTGGCCCCTCAGGCAGTTTTTTCAGTGTAATTTTCCATGTCTCAGACTTTCACCCTGACTGCTGCTACTGACACGGTGGGAAAATTCAGGGAGACTTGTCCTGTTGGTTGGTGTTGGTGTTTTTTAACCTATTCCAAAAAAAACCTAGCATGAGACAGAACAGCCCAGTTTAACTGCAGACACTGGTCTTGCTTTTGAAGAAAATCTCTGCCTCATTTATTCAGAATCTTTAAAATACTATAATTTAGAATACAAGCCCTTTTCCATCTGCTTTGGACCAGTCACTGATGACACCTCTGACAAAATACACCCACAAGATTATGTGTAAGGTACCACTATGGGCAGACTTTCATTTGCAAAGGGAAAGGGAAGGAATGGGAGAGTGGTTTGGGCTTCCTTTTAGATAAGCTCACTGGAAGCTAAATCCACATCCTTGTGGGAGGCACTTGTCAGGTAGAGCTGTCCCAGATGACATAACCCTCTGTCCAGGCTCATGTGCCTGACCACGCAGCTGCATTGCTCAGCACATCTAGAAGACACTTGTTGTTTGAAGCTTGGCTGTGAACGAGGATAAAGGGATTTTTCATCACACTCAAGTGACTCAGAAGTGATTCCTAATGGGCTCTGTGCTCCCATAATAAGGTATATTTTAAGAGGGGTCTCACGTTAGCAAACCATTGCCTGGGGTCTGTCAGCAACCTCCTGGGATATTTCTACATAGCAGAAAAATAACACACATCTCTGACAAAGATGAGTTTCTTAACCTGTTTGATTCATCCCAGCAGTGAAGGCAAAGCAGGCTGAACTGAACCCAAGTTCCCAGCCCATCCCTGGGCTTCTGTGGGTCAGAACTGAGCTAAAACTCCAAGTTATTGCATCTTCACTGCTGTTTGCTCACTTAGCTGGTGGCTGTCAGATAGCCACAATTACAAACAAGCTGCTCAGCCTGATTAAAAGCAAAAAATAAAACCAATTCCCTATTCAGAAAATCACTCGGGCCCCTCTTTTCCTTTTAATCCTGTTTCAGATACTTTCAGCAAGCTGGTTAACATGTGCTCTGCTGCTTCTCTTGAGCTGTGATCCAAATGCTTGGGAACTATGGTGGGAGGAGCAGGACAGAGGAGGGCAGGGGCTGTGCAGGACACAGGAGCAGTGTGGGAGCAGTGTGGGAGCGATGCTTTTGGGGAGGGTCGGGTGCTGGTTTTACTCAGGCTGTGTTGCATTCTTCAGGCTTTGGCTTTTTATGCTCTTTTTGCTGGAGGAGGTTTTGGAGACAATTTTCACACCTGGGTTGGCACCTTTTGCACTTCCAGAGCTGAAATTCCCTCCAGTGGTGCTCAGACCACTGCCGCCTCCATAGCCAAGGCCGCTTGCAGCGCCTCCTCCAAAGCCGCCACCACCGCCTCCAAGTCCAAGTCCTCCTCCACTTCCAAAGCTGTAGCCTCCACCACCACCACCTCCAAGACCAAAACCACTTCCAAAGCTGTAGCCTCCACCACTGCCTCCACCTCCAAGACCAAAACCGCTTCCACTTCCTCCTCCAAGGCTGAAACTGTTTCCACCACCTCCGCCGCTTAGGCTCAGTCCGCCAAATCCTCCTCCTAACCCAGCTCCACCAGCCATGCCAGAGCTGGAGCTGATGACAGCTGAAAGAAAAAGCAAGCAGAGGGTTGAACATCTGCTTGGCAGTCACCCAGTTCCAGAAGCTCCATCATCAAGACCTTGACCCAAGGAACCCAACTTCTGTCCCCTGTGCAAGACACTAATGCTGGTGGAAGGTTCTGAACACTTAAATTGGGCAAAGTCTCCCTTCTCCCAGGGTTTCCCCCAGCTTCTGCTCCCAGTGAGCCCAAAGCAAGACAAGCGCTGTGGTACTTACAGTAGCTGATGGGGGTCAATCCCTCTCCACTCAGCCTGTTGGAGGGCAGATAAAGGGGAGGTTAGAGCAAAATGAAGGACACAGGCAA